CTCTTGTAAGAGTTTCCCAAATGGTATTTATCAAAAGCATCTATTTTCTGTTATTCCCAGCCTAGATATGAACTAAACAGCAAAAATAACAAAACTTCTTATAAAAGAAAAAGAACTTCTTGTTCTGTTACAGAATTACAAGTTTGTTCTCCAAATTTAATACATGAATACTATTCTGCACTTCAGCAATGTGACCTTGAATGGCGTTGTTTGCTTCTGCCAGCATTGAGAAAGCAACAATCTGAGTAGGAACATATAAAATAGAAGTAACATTTTAAAATGCTGGAGATGTTTTAAAGAAAACTGCGTTATCAAGGTGAAAACCCGTTTGACCTACAGCCTGTTTTAGTGTTACTAAAGAGGCCTTGGTTATGAGGACCTGAGTTATATATTGTTCAATTTCTTTTGTAAGTTTTGTTGCTAGTTTTTTTTTCCGCTGGTTAAGTTCACTGCTAGGGATTTGTGCTTGCTGACTTTTACAAAGCAAGATTTATATTCAACCCTCAAACAACATTACTGTATGACTGTTCCATCCAGAGAAGTAAACCCATGCCTGCTTTTTTAAAAAGTCTCTCATAAAGCCTCTGTTCAATATTTGGGGATGTGGCTGGACTTTCAGTTCCTATTCCTAGTAAAATCTGAATGTTGTTTTTAATCAATTTAAAAAACACAGTTTAAATCCAGTAAGAAAGCCTGATGTAATTTATAGTCACCAAACTCACTTAGGATCTCCAGGTAGCACTGTTTTCAGAATCAAAGCCAAGATCTGAACCTCTCGGTTGAGGGACAGTACCTCTATACAGAGTGCACCTACATTACTGTCTTAGCTCAGATCAGAAATGTGGTTTTGAAGTGAATCCCTGCTTACCATGCTGTTGTTGCAGCAGGGAGCAATCTTGGCATGCACGAACTGAATTTCTTTGGGATGAAACCAAACCAGTAAATCTGTTCCAGAAGCATGTTTGATATGCTCCAACTGCTGAAAGGGACTCGAGGGACAGAACAAATGAGTGAGTCACACCACAAGTTTTCCAGCACATATAGCTAGCACTCATGAGCCAGCAGAAGGCTCTCAAAACCTCAAGTGCTCATGCAACATCATGGAGTGCCTCTCATGCTGCATAATGCCTTCATATCTGCTGTGATCTACTGGCCCTCTCTGGGCCACTCAATTTCTCCTTCCTCATCCACACAGTCAATAGCAACATCAACTCTTGCAACTCAGAAGATCAGGCAGAGTGCTGACGATCGAGCATGGGATTCAAGGATGCTGCTTGTCAGCCTGTGCTATGAGAAGTCCAAAAACTTCCTTGGAGGCAAGATTACTATCTTGTGGCTGTAGCATGAGATTATGAACCTCATGAAGTGAGCAGTATCAAATCAAATTTAAAAAGATCAACGTTGCCCTTAGCAAAACCTCAAACAACCAGCCTCAAAAGCTTACCCTTGAGGACGCTTTGAAGCGGATGGAGATTATTGAACCAGTTTCTCTTCAGTGGACTATGGCAGCTGTTTTCCATCCTTCTGCTCTCACTTCCTAACACCAATACTTTGCTCAGCCCTCCCTGTCTCCTACCAAATACCTACCAAATGTCTAGCTGCTCTGCCTTCCCCTGGTCAGCCAGGTCCCAGGTGAGACAGTTTCCCATAGTATGCTGTTGAACAAGGCATGAAGGTAACCCACCAGTGGACTTTGACAGCCACCCTTTTCAGAGCTCACCTTCCTCTGCTCTTCAAGGGACTTGAGGCAGAAATGAGTTTATGCCAGTACTTCCACTACCCTGGAGAAAACTGTGCCTGAGAACCTGGGAACTGTGGGCAAGAGGGCCATAAGCAATAGACTGCTGCATTGTATCCTCACAGGTGTTCAGAAGACTGGCAGGCTTACTTCTCTCTTCTTGGCAGAATAAAGGTGTGCATTCTGGAAGTGATGTCTGGCAGTGGCAGAGCTATAGTGGCCTCAGCTGTGCACCTTCACATTTACTACTTCCACTTCTCCAGAATCCCCAAAACAATGAGATCCTACCAGCCAGAGCTCATCTCCTGTGCCAAGGACCTCTGATGAACAGAGCACCTGCAGTGGTGAAGACTCAAAAAATGGCATTATCCCCATCTTTCTACTCAGCCCTTGAGAAGTCCACAACAGTCAAGGGAGTCCTCCCAAAGTAAGTGCCGTGAGCGCACGTGTGAGCCTGCTGTTCCCTCTTCACTGCACTCTTGTGTGGCCACACTCAAATACAGAAGAGGATTTATGCAGTAGGCACCACAGTGTTACTTGTGAATAAAAAGGAACAGAAGCAAGCCAGGTCAGGAACAGGATCAGGAACAGAAAAGGCTGATGGATTAGGAAACATCACCTGCAGGAGACAAGTGAAAGTAAAGTATGGTGCTTTCCAGAGTGGCCTGCTTTCCTCATCAAAGTTTGTCCTCATAAAGCTCTCCCTAGTTTGAAGGATTTGAACTTTGGGTTCAAACACTCAAAGCGCTAACAGTGAAAATGTCCTGTACTCAGCACTATCTGTTTCAAACCACTCCTGTTGCACTTACTTGCTAAAGTCGTTACAGCAACTTTCTCCATAACAGGCTTGTACCAAATAAACACAGTCTGTCCTAAACCTTTAAGCCATACAAAGTAGGAAGATCAAAATAAGGCTTTAAAAGCAAATACCTACTATTACTGAATAAAATGATTCACTTCAATTACCAATTGGTATTTTACTTCCCACACATTTCTACTTGGTATAATGGTAATATTCCAGTAATCCTTTGTGCATCTTTAATACAAAAACTAAAAATATTATCTGCAGTTTTGATAAAGGTGTAGAGCTTCCATCAAACTCTTTTAATTAAGATCATAATGCTAGTTTAAATGCAGAAATCTGTACAAAACTGTCAGATTTCTCCCTGGTGCATTACAAACCCCTTTGAAACACCTTGATTAGAAGCTTGAGAGAGGGAAAACAGTTTAAATTTGAAGTCAGATTCCTTATGCTGATCAGCCCAGCAATATGTTGCAAAAGTTCTCTTGCTCAAGACTGCACATTTATAATCCTTCTAAGTACTGATGAGTAACGGTATTAAAAATGGCATTGTTTTCTATGAAATACCAGCCAGACACAGGAGAAAATAATGAAATTAGAATCCGATGATATAGAATTTCCTGTAAGAAACAGCAAAAATTAGTAATCTTGGCAGCACTAGATGACTGTATGGGCATAAGAGGTAATTGCTTCTGCTCACACTGTGTGTCCTGCAGATTCATAGGCAGAAGCCAAATCCAATCTCTTGCTCCTGTTGGGTAGTTAAGCCTAATCTGAAGAGAATCTTCCTCCAGAAATAAATCTGCCGCTTTCTTCCAGGAAGCGGACATTTTAATGGTTGAGAATGAAGAATAGGTTATTTCTTTATGATAATACCTGATTATAGAGTGAATGGACTTGGACATCAAATACATGGTAAGAAGACATCACCACATGTAAAAGTGATTATAAGACTACAAATTAAAAAAAGGAACTGTTGTTTTATAGCAACATCTATATTATATCATTTGCATCTGCATCATATTTTTCTTACAACCTTAGTAATACCTAGTTACCTTTGTTTTTTTACTGTAAAAGACACGTGACCTAGGTCACAGGGAAGAGGTTCAAGAAACATACCTCTCCGCAAGGCATAAACTGCAAAGGCAAAAAAAATCAGAGCACACATTTTACCACTCCATATACAAAAAATATTACTAGCCTAATTTGCTACTAGGATCATGATGGTATTTCGATCACAGCCCTGAAGTTCAAGTGCCAAACAAGAAGTATAGTGTATTTTCAGCATACCTGGAACAGCATAAAGGACAGCAATAGGACAACCTTTTCCTTTACCATTGATAAAGAGTATGTTTTATAATTTTTTAAATTAAGATATGTTTATTAGGAGAAAGAAAACTTATGGTCTTCCTTATTCCATGTCCTCCTAATTGATGTGATAGGAACTAGTGTCTATGGCCATCATATTTAATGTGGTACTGTTTGACAAAAAATAGAAATTATATGAGAACATACAAATGAAGACAAAATTAAGTGTTAAATGGCAGTACCTGCAGCGCTGAAAGGCTGACTCTAGGGAAGTGAATGGAGGCAATGAGAGATGCCTAAACTTTGCATATATACAAGAGGAAGACAATAAGAAGGGATTGAGAGAGGGGAGAAAGAAGGCTGAGGAAACACAGCGTTGGGAAAAGAGAGCTTTTATAATATACTCTTCATGGTTGCATAGCTAATAGTATAGCTAAGAAAAGGAGGACTGTTGCATTTGTGGGGAATCCCAAAGGCAAAAAGGACAGTTGATACAGGGCTCTGAGTGTGCAAAGATGCTCCTAAGAAAAAAGTGGCACACATTGTCCCTTTGGCACATGAATGGACACTAGAGACGCTGAGACACCCAGGATAACAAGATAAACCCGAGGAGTAGGAACAGCAGGGAGGTCTGACTGCTGGATATGAAAAAGCAGAGTCAGTTCTACATTTTGTCTTATGATTGTCTCCTCCCATTACTGACACCCTTACCTGCCTGGTTCGCTACTGGTTCTTCCTGCTTGTATACCTGTATAAAGTGTCATACTTTGGCTAAAACGTTGGACCATTTTTCCTTATGTCCACATCCTCTGCAGAGCCAGTCTATTGCCTTAGTAAACTAAAGGCAAAAATATATTTAAAAATAAGCTAGGAGTTTAGATTATTTAAGAAAAGCTCTCAAAAGCACCAGGATTATAAGACACTTGATGGTTAGCAAGAGCTACATTTGGTCACCTGGATAGATATTTTAAACCTTCCAATAGGAATCTTATTCTCCAAGACTTGACCTATTGGTATCACTGGAGTTTGCTGGGTCATAACGAGGGGAAAGTTTGTCCCTGAACTTCCTAAAGCAGGAGTAACAGAAACTTGAGCCATCCTTCTTCCATCTGCAGAAAATGAGTAATTTAAGACTACTCACTCTAAACGTACCTTATAAACTGCAGTACCTCCAACAATCCAAACCATGTCTACTTTACTTTTTAACTCTGGTGAATCCAGAAGAGCTAAAGCATCATCCAGACTTTTGGAAAGGTAATGTGCTCCCTTTGGGGTTTCCCTAGAAAAACAAAGTTTTATTATTTAACTTAAAGGATATTCATCATGATAATCAATACAGTCTAGATTGTATGTATTTTGCTGAATTTACAAGTGACTAAATCTTTCACATTAGTTTACTATTTTGAAATGCCTACTATTGCTACATTATGTTCGAATTCTCATCTGACTGCAGGAGGCTTAATAAATCAGAATTCAATCATGACTGTGACTTAAGCATTATAAAAAAATAGATCTGAAGTTTTGTATCACATGGGGAAAAAAGCATAACTGAGGAACTTGCGTATCTATATATCTAACTAAATATAGACTTCTACCCAATTCTACAACATTAATATTTTTCCAATAAAACTTGTCAAGAAAGCCCGCATCCCCCACACCTCATATTCAGCCAAAAACCCCACCAACACTTTCCAAAGCAATAAACCACAATAAGCAGACATTTTCATTTAAGAATGTTGGATGACTGTGGGTGATGCATTCAAGAAGCGAGTTCTGAACAAGGACATCCTCTTTTCCCTTAAATGCTAATAAAAGTAAGCCTCAAAAAAAGTGAATAATGAAGTCAGTAACCAGAAACTTGAGAAACAGAATTAAAGACATGAGTCGTAAGGACTACTGACATGTCTCAGATGGTTTGTATGTAGATCCAGGACTAGTATTTATTTTATGCAAAGAAGAATAAAGTAATGATATCACTCAGAACCAACAGAAGAGAGATTTTCTAAGCAAATGTAAAAAATGTAACACTTAGAATTACTTTATAAAGTCATGCTATCCATAATTTTTGGTTTGTTATTTGTTTTATAGACTCATAGCTCTTCATACATACTTGAGCTCTCTGCTGAGCACGATATTAATTCTGTCTTTTAAAGGACGATTCTTCTCAGGAATGGAAAACCAGGTTTTCTTACCCATTATCAGTGCATTCTGTTTACCTGAGTAAGAGAGAAAACATTTATTTAAAGGGAATATCTTCTCCGTACTAAACTTGTTTTGGTCGCCAGTGACATCTGCTGGGCTTTACCTCCTCCTTCGGAGCTCAATTCAGTAGTTAACAAAAGAACAAGTTTAGGCTCTGATTCTGAAGTTATTCACATGTACAGAAGAACATGTTTGTGCCTGAAAGCCTTGGTAGGCACCTGACACCAAACCAACATAGTCGTATGCACAGCTGTAAACTTACCATTGAAAGAGCATCAAAAAAGTTAAGTTACATGCGTTACATGGCCATAGGCTCAGCTACGTCTATGGGGACAAATCCATCCCAGCGTGTGAGACCAACTCACATCCTCAGAGTAGTTCTCAGAGTGTGAATAAACATTCTTGTTCTCTGTATAAATCCCAAAGCAGCATGGAATAGTCTATTTGGTGTTTGTATGTTTTGTCATTCTATTTACGAGATCAGGAATAATTGCCACAGCTTTAAGGACAACTTTTAGAAGAAAAATCAGCTGAATTAAATCCAACAGCAGAAGTGCAACAGATGTTCAAACATATTCTAGAATTCACCCATAAATATTATTTCTGTTCAAATTCAACATTCATAAGCTGATTATTTCTCATATATACCCTGCTGAGAAGGTTATCAGCATTTCCCTTAATGAGCAGATGGAATAGCCAGAGAAATGAACATGGAGAGTAAGAGACTCATACAAGGTAACACAGAAAGTTTCTTAATGCTACGCAGTAGGAGGGATTTTGGAAAGAAGAATGAGATTTGTTCACAGCCGCTCTTCCTGCTTTGGTCTGAGATTTCTTTTCTGATTTGGTCCAGGCTGAATCTATTGTATCACACCAGAGAACTGATGTTTCAAATGTGTAGGAGAACTGCCTAAACACCTTTTCCTGTCCTCTTCCTAAACTTCATGAGAGAGCTTCCTAAGCTGCTCTTTCCAAGAGATCTACTGCAGTGTCAGTTTAGATGCATTAGCACAGACCATTGGCATCACTGTTCAAGGTGAGGCACAAACTGTTTAGGAAAGTATGCTTTTTCCTACTGAAGATCCATACTGGGATGCATACTGGATCAGAACAAAGATCTGTCTAGACCAATATCTATTTTTCAGCAGCAGCCACTGCAGCTATGCAAGCAGACCAAAAGCAAGAGCAAGGGATGCTTCTCCGTTGTATTCTTCCCGCTTTCAAAAATCTGTGACTGGGACTTTTTTGAGCCAAATGTGGTAGCCCTGCTGTTAAGTTTTACAGAAGCAAAATCCATCAAGAGCTCTGGTTATGAAGCAGCTTCACTGTTTGGCATCTAAGGTCATAGCTTATCAAAAGATTTAAGTGCAGGATGGAGCAAACTTTTTCATTATTCACATTTAAAAATTCTGCTGTTGGTTATGGGTTATTTGTGATGCATAAGTTATTTGTGTCATAAGTCGTATAAGAATTAGCAGACATACACATTTGTGTTCTGCTTTTTTTGTATACCAGGTTGCCATGGGCCAAGTTAAATCTCCAAAACACATCTAACATCCTTCACTTAAGACTGTTGTTAAAATGATATTAAACATTCTTTATGGAATATAGAACAGACCTTCAAAGCAGAACATAGGAATACGTCACTTGATCAAAACAAGGATACGTGTTAGGCTGCTCAGATATCTTAGTGAACAAGTGAGTTTTGCTAGATAGTGTTTGAGCAGGGGCAGGGAAGGTCCTGCTCCTCCTTTCCCAGTGCCTCCTTCCCTGGCTGCCTGCTCCCATCATGTTCCTTGTGCTGGCAATCCCAAGGGAAGCCCAGACAGTAGTCTGCTGGGTTAGAGAATTAAAACAGCTTAATGAAGAGTTAAACGAACAGTAAAGCCAGGGCAAAAGAGCAATAGGGCTGTGCAGCAAGACCTGGCTGTTTTGGCAGTGGCAAGTACCCAGTCAAAACAAGTTAGCTGACCCATCCCATCTCTTGCTCCCATCCTGTCCCTGCTTGCTTGTGCTGATCAGCAGGATTTTTTTGACCTTGCAGGAACAGGTTTTATCTCTCCAAATCGATAGAAACTTTGACATTACTTTGTTGCAAAGGTCTCACTAGGCCTGAACATTTATTGCTGCATATAATCCGTATGGTTAGGGTTGGGTTTTCTTGGCCAATACAGCACAGCGGGATGGCTCAGCACCCAAACACACACTAAACTGTTGTCACAAGAGCCAGAGGGGGGAACAAACGGCCAAACATGAAGTTCAGAAAACAGTTAAATAAGCTAGTATAGACTTAAAAAAACCCTGTTAATAAACCAACACACAAAAACATTGTAATTTTGTAACTTGTTCAGGCTTGGGAGTTGCAGGGAGAGATGCTGTTTTCTACTCTCCTGGGGAGACAGAGCTTTGAAATTGTTTGCTCACAAAGTAATAGCAGCAAAGAAACATCTGATTAATCTCCAATTCCTTCATCTAACTTAACTGGCAGATTGCGTATTTATAAAGGGGTAAAATACTTTTGGACCTTCACGAACAACAAAAAAAAATCTTTTGTCTGATTTATATAAAAATGCAACTGGTTTTGTTTAAAACAAGAAATAGCAACACATTATGTAATTCCATGTCTTCTTTTACTAACAAACAAGCAAACAGAAAAAGCCAGGCAAAATTTTAAGGCCGATGAGGCTGGGGAGGGGGAGGGCAGTCTGTCTGGGGGAGCAGGACTTTGAAACTCTGGAAGATGAAAGTTATTGATCTGTTTTGTGACCGGTAACATGAACTAACGTGGATAAATAGAGGCATACTAAGGCAACAGACACAACATTACCTTCCACATGGGATGTGCTAGTCATTCTCTGGAAATACTTAAACTCATTCCTAGAAACAAAGTAGGAGAAAACATTGCAACGTGGTTTATGAGCAATTTTTATTACTCCCGGGAGGAGAGACTCGCTGGGGCCAGGGCGGCCCGGCTCGGTGCCATGTCTGAAACGTGACCTTTCGGCCCCGAGTCTGCAGGTGAAAAC